CCACCACATGCTCAGCCCGCGGCGGCAGGGACATCCTGGGGTGGGGAGTGGCCTGGAGCCTCATGCTTCACCACCAGGACGAGCTGGGCTCTCCTCCCTGCAGGCAGCTCCCAGTACAGCCAGCAGACCGGGTACCAGCAGAGCACAGCACAGCAGCAGTACCCCGGCCAGCAGTACCCCGGCCAGCAGTACCCCGGCCAGCAGCAAGGCTACGGTAAGGGTCCGCGGGCCACGCGGGTGCCGGGCAGGCGGCTCGGGGTCTCGGTTTGCAGTGGTTGTAACTTTCCAGAAATGCTAGGGGCAGAGCGAGGGCTCCAGGTGCCCCGCACCAGCTCGCGCGTCACCTGGGCAGCTGTCCCGACCCAGGAGCCGACTGGGCTCCCTGCCCAGAGCCACAGCCCACGCTCGGGACAGGCCTGTCCTGTGTCTGTGATGCCCTTTCTGTCCCAGACCCCACCCAGGGGCCCACGTGACACAGGACCCGTCTGTGACGTTTTTCAGACTTCCCGATCCTTTGAATGACCAGTTTTGAGACCAGTCAGGTACTTTGTGGAATGTCTCTCTGGGTTGGTTTTTGTCCGATGAAATGAACAAGTTCTAGGGTCAGGGAAGAAACCCAGAGGGAAGGCCCTTCTCGGCTCCTCCTGCGAGGGGCGCTGGATCGTCTCCACCCTTCCCTCCCGTTCTCTACTCCTTAGAAGTGAGTCACTGCGTCCACACTGGCAGGGGTGTACGGGCCAGCGATACCCACGATTGGGGACCCTGCAGAGGGGAGCCCACCTCTTCTCTCAGAGTGGGTGTGACTGCGGCGTCTGTCCTGCATGGCTGGCTGTAGCCAGCTCCACTCATCCGCTGGCCTGGCCTGGCCCGGGCGTCTGGCTAGTTCCTGTGTCCCTGGACACGCCTGCCTTGGGACTTTCCACGCACATTCGTGTTCCCTGCCCGTAGCACCCCCTCTGCCCGGCTTTGGGGTCAGGCATTCCCCGCCCCTCCCATCTGCAAGCAGTGCCAGGCGAGCACTCCGAGTGCAGGGCGCCTCTCCCCTGTGGCAGCGTGCAGGTGGCCGGTCTGCAGTGACCGGGAATGCCCATCCGCCCATCGGTCTCGTTTTCCACCTAAGGGCCAGGAAAACAAGGGTGGGCCGCAGGACCACCCTCGCCCATGTTGGGGCTGAGACAGGCAGAGCGGCGAGCAGTGTGGGCAGGGAAATCTGTCCCTAAGGGTCAGGAGGACTGTCCCTAAGGGTCAGGAGGAAGCACCACTCGGTCTCACGGGCTGGGCTGCCCAAGCAAAGCAGCAGGTCTTGGCGGGGCTGCAGCCCTCGTCCTGCCTGCCCAGTACCTCGGCGTCGCCACAGCTGCCCAGAAACACCCAAGGCTCTCCGGCATCCCTAGACCTCCTCGGCAGCCAGGGTGTGGGGCACACGCCACTCTCGTGGCTGCCTGGTGACTCCCACACAAACCGTCACCACCTGAGACGCAGCACGGGCCGTCCTGCCCGAGAGGGTCAGGAGCTGTGCCTGTCGGCGGGTTTAGTGCGTGTCCGTGAGACACCCTGCATGCACCCAGGACACACCTCACTGTATCCCAGATGGAAACCCGCATTCACCACGCCCACCCCGCCAGCTCCGCTCCTCTGAACCTCGTAGCTGCCCCTCACTCTCAGCCTCTGCCTCCCGGGAAGCAGCCTGGACCTCTGTGCACCCACCTCGCTGTGTCTGCGGGTCACCTGAGCAGCTTTGGGAGCGTGCCGTGCTCCCCCACCGCCCACTTCCCAGGGAGGGCCGTGTGGAGGTGTCTGATGCAGCTCCCGGGAGCTGCCGCAGCTGCCGCCTGCCCTCCCAGGCATGATGAACTGGGCAGCAGCGGGCACCGTCCCGTGGCCTCGGTCCATCTTTCCGAGGCCTCCGCGCTCGTCTTCCTAGAGCCCAGGCTCTTCCTCGTGTGCCGGAAGCCGTGCTCCAGCTGGGCTGGTGCACAGTCAGCTTGTGTTAATTGCATGGTCCCAGCACTCGTGCCATGGGTCTCAGGTGCGGTGGGTATGCAGCCGCCCACCTGCTTCCAGGGATCAGGCCCTTGGCTCCCACCCCGGCTGGGGCACAGTCCAGGGCCTCTCAGGACTGGAAGGTCTGGCCCTTGCTCTGTGCACTTCACGTCGCGGCGGAGCGGGTCCTGGGTGTCGGAGCCCGCCGCTGGGCTCATGGTGTGTGTCTCCCCAGGGCCCGCCCAGGGAGCGCCCTCACAGTACCCCGGCTACCAGCAGGGGCAAGGCCAGCAATTCGGCAGCTACAGGGCCTCGCAGACGGGACCCTCCGCCCAGCAGCAGCGGCCTTACGGCTACGAGCAGGCAAGCGTTCCGCACCCTCAGACGCGCCGTGTTCTGACAGTCGGGATGGCGAGATGCCACTAGTTGGTCTCCAGGCCCTTCCAGAGTTTAATCTCTGAAATGAGCCCTCTCCTGGGCCAGGGGCTGGCCGCTCGTACCACACTCCCTGTGCGGCGCGGCCCCCTCGTGCTGCGGGTGCTGGCTGTGTACAACAAGCAGAGGCCAGGCCCCGAGTGGCTGCGCTAAGGGCGACACGGCCCCCGTGCTGTGAGAGCGTGTGTCTTATTCGGGAGACAGTGACACAGCCGACAGGACCAGACTGTCCCGGGCACCGAGGACAGGCAGGGCAGAGCCATGGCAGCCCTGCTGGGTGGACAGAGGACGCGGTGAGGCACCCCTGGCCGCCCTCACAGGCCCGGGGGTTGGGTTTCCAGTGTGCCCAGCTGGGTGTGGGCAGGAAGCCTGGCTGCAGTGGACTCCAGCCTGCTGATCCCTGGCCCTACCCCTCGGCCCTCATTGGACCCAACAGTTCTCCATCTGCCTGCCCCTCGCTGGGCTTTCCAGGAAGTCTGGCGATGGGAGAGGAGGACGAAGCCGAGGGAGGGATCGGTTCCCCCAGACGGCGGTCTCAGTGTTCGGGCCACACGGCAGGCCGCTGCCTCAGCCCTCCTGCCTGCCCCTCGCTGGGCCTGGCTCCCATGCTCGCGTTTGGTATGGACCGAGCCCCTACCCTGCTCATCATGCCACCCATCTCCTCCCCACGGGGCTGCTGGCTGGTGCCTCGGCCCTGCTGCCCACCAGTCACCCCCGGGAGCTGTCTGGGAGCTGCGCGGAGGCAGAGTCAGCGTGGGCGCCCGGCCCAGCCCAGCCCGCAGAGCCCAGAGCAGGCCAAGTGGACGAGCTTCGGCTGTGGGCTGGGACGCTGGCTTGACGAAGCTCCTCTTCCGTGCCCGCAGGTCCAGGCCGAGGCCGCCTGCTGGTCCACCCCGACACCGCCTCCCACCTCTTGCCCGGCTGTCGGCAGCAGGGCTCTGTCTTCCTGTTCCACATCATAGTCCTCGTGACAACAGAGGTCTCACTTGCGTCTCCATCTCTTTCAGGGCCAGTATGGAAATTACCAGCAATAAGGGACAAGTGTTCCTGGAGCCCTGCAGGAGTGTCCTCACCCCGGGGCTGGACGGGGCCGGTGGCAGTGCGGGTGAGCTGGCGTGCTGGTGACCCCTCCGCCCTGTACCGTGGCTGCACGTGACGTGCACTCATCTCGTGGGCATGACGGGGCGGCACCGCCGGTGCGGGACAGCGCCTTGCTGTGACAGTGCTATGTGTTGTGAGTCAGCACAATGGAGAGGCTGCCATCTTGTCCCCCCTCGATGTCCCTAGCTAGCCATGGGGGTCATGAGCCGTCAGAGTCCCCTGTGCTCCGTGATGGGACACATCTGAACATGCATAGTCTGTGTTCTCGTGAGCAGGCCCTCGGCCCGATGTCTCCTCACGCAGTTGTCGGAGTGGGGGTTGCAAACGCTTCTCTAACTGGCTGCGCCGCAGCGGGACGCAGCTGTGATGGCGGCCGCCAGCCTGGATGGGGTGGTGGGAAGGCACCTGGGGTGGTGGGAAGGCACCTGCCATGCTCCGGTCGTCTCCACCACTGCGGAGGGGTAAGTGCTTCCTCTGGGAGGCCGCAGGCGCCAGCTCCAGAGCCCAGTCTCCTCCTGTGTCTCGCCGACTCCTTTACCCACGGGGCACGTCTGTTAGAAGGTGGAGCGGGGTGACTACATTCCAGATGACGGTGGTGCTGACCGCAGCTGCGAGCCGCCTCCTGGGAGGAAAGGGAGGCCCGTCCCCCGTCCTCCGTCCTCCGTCCTCCGTCCTCCGTCCCCCGTCCTCCGTCCTCCGGGGCGACGGTCGTTGGGAATTGCTTTGGCCCTTGTCTATCTGATGGTCATTCTGGGATTTGAGTATTTCATATGCCCAATTCTAAATCGACGTGTAATTTAAAGGACCGAGACCACGTTTTCTAGACAGCTGGCGGCTATTTTATATTATTTCTTTCAGGACCGGTCCATTCAGGTCTCCAAACAAGTGCGCCTTTTCTTTTAGGAATATCTGAGATTCACATCCTATTTTTAAAAAGAACCCCAGTCACTTTACTGTGTTGTTCCGAATGAAAAGTGAAGATTTTTTTTATAGATGTGTAATTTTTACATCCTCACGATGTTCAGTCCTGTTTAAATTCTGTGCAGACGTTAAAGACACCTCCCTTGGAAAATTACGGTCAGAGGAAAAATCCTCCATTTCCACTCAGAAGCATAAACTTTGGATCCACCTCTACTTGAATATCCCTATTTACTGTGAATCTTTTTGTGAAAAAAAAATTGGGGTAAATGCTGATGTAGTTCCAAAAACCACCATGAAAATACAAGAAATGTCCCATGCTCAACGTATTGGGCCTCCTGAAAATGTTTTTCTGTAACTGATAAAAGTGCTATGTCTTGAAAATGAATTCTTTATCTTGAGTTGAGTGCTTTAAAATGTATGGTACTTTTGTTTCTTGCTTGGACTTATCCTGACAGCCCATACTGGGGGACAGGGAGGCAGCCACTTGTTTTATGAAGAACTGAGGTTCAGACTAAAGGACTTGCCGGTGCCGGTCCCCCTCTGGGACAGATGCCACGAGCACCAGTTGTTTGTAGATACAAGGGTTTTCGAGGCTCTCAGCACTGCTAAGGGCTTACAGAATGCCTGTCCGTATTAAGTTATTGGAATGAGAATTCTCACGGGCTAAGTGACGGGCATTGAGCTCCACTCCACGAGCGTGATTTGGAGCTCTTCCTCCCTGGCAGTTCTAGTAGATCTGATCTGCAAACTCCATCAAGGACTGAAATTGTCCACTGAAAGTGTTAAACGTTTGGATTACCGTGGAAATAGTGTATATTTGTTCCTTGCCAATCTGGGACTATGCCTTTAATGTGCTTTTTTTTTTTAAGTGCTATATTAATACTTTTTGAAAGAAGAGGACACTTTAAAAATTTTATCATCCCAAAACTTCAATCTAAAATGTCTTACATTAAGAATTTCTTGAATGTTGTGTATATATTTTTAAAAGCACTTTGTGAAATAGTTTGTACATTTATTTCCTAATTTATACATGATTTTGGCGTTAATATATTTAATGATTAATATCAGAATGTTTATTTAACGTACTGTCCATTTTTGTGTAACCCTGGGGAGGCCATGCCAGCAGCCCCGCGATGTGGGGGTGGGAAAGCGGTTCGCGCTGTGTTGATGGGGCTGTTTTATGACTACTGGTCCGGAAGACCCAGGGAGGCCTAGGGCGATTCTGGAACCCGACGCTAGCTGCTGGTTCTTGCTCTGTAGCCCGACACCCCGCAGTCGGATGTGGAAGGGGGACCAGGGCGCTCACAGTGGACAAGCGCGTGTACACGCAGCGGCTCACCGGGGGCCTGGCCCGCTCCTTCGGACTCAGGGCCATCGGAACTGGCTAGAGTGGACCCAGTCTGGAACCTCATGGCCCGTCCTTGTCCTTGGGGTCCCAGGAGCCTCTGACTTTGCGGACATTAAAGACACCTCTGTGTATTGGGCATCCATCCGAAACTGCAAAAAGGAAGACTCCGCTTCGTTTAAAGCGTTTCAGCCATTTCTTCATTTCTCTTTATCGACAGGTCCCGTTCGTCTTACTTGTGAGTGCATTCTTCAAAAGCGCCCCTAAAAGTTAATTTATTTTCCGTCGGACTTGAGCGTGCCCTGGTTTATGCGTTGTGTAACCCTAATAAACAGGTTCTCCGCTCCCGGGCCGCGGTGTGCCTCGCTGCTCTGCGTGGGGCGGGAGGCGGCCGCAGGGACGCCCAGGGCTGCTTCCCTGGCGTCGGGGCGCTCTGCCC